TGAATGTGGCACCAAACACGACTGGACATACCATAAATTTGGAGAACTGGGAGCAATAAGAGTTGTATGTCAAATTTTTGTTGAAATTTCTTACACAAAAGCAAAGCAGTGATTCTATATTTTTAATATAAAATGCTTATTACTCACACATGGAATCCCATGGTTGGTAGCTGACAGGAGCGACTTGAATTCTGCAGAGAAATTAGCAGAGGGTTCAAAGATTTGGTAAATTGAAAAAAGAAAACTTTTAACTTGAAACTGCAGAGATCTCATTATTAGTTTTGAACAATTATTTTTATTCTTATAGGCAGAAAACAAAGAATAAAGATACTGTAAATGTTTTAATCTTACCACAAGTCGTGGGTTAATTCCTTGGGCACACCAACCACGATCAAGATTTTTCATTTCACAGTTTAACTGCAACTGTGTGATTTTCAAACCACTTCTGCTATGAGATAGAAAGAAAAGACAGAAAAGGAATCAATGACAAAATCATAATCCTGATATTATAATCAATAAACAGTACTATTCAACCTGGTTTGACATGGGGCCAGCTCAAAATAGACACCTGTAGTGGGGGTCCACTGTATTGGAAAATGGCTGTTTTTTCCCCTGGATCCACCCCTAAAAATACTCACTGCACCAGTGGTACCTTATCCTATTGTTTGCAAATGTCTTGTCCATAACATACTCTTCCAGTATGGTACATCTGACTTCCCTTCACAACTTCCCTTTATCCCAGCAATCCACTCAAAAATTAAAAATGATTTAAATTAGATTAAGCCTAGCTAGTAACTACAATGAATCCTACTCTATTAGCGGCCTACGACCAAAGGTGAAGGTTTACTGGTCACTTATGGGAGGTGGTTGCTTAAAGTTTACAAGTGAACTACATGGCCTCTCTTCTGAAAAGACGTCTGGACACATCTACTTTTGAAAGAGAATATATTGCATACAAATTTTAAGTTTTATATGTGTGCATTCCATGTTATCACAAAAAGTTCTTTCTTAGTACAGAATGGGACAAACAGCAAACAAAGAGATTAGACCATGCTTCAGGTTATCGCTTACAAGAGGTCGCTTACAACAATGGAAGGAATTATCAGTAACTGTGGTTGCTTATGAGAAATCAGAAGGGTGCATATGGAGGTCTGACTGCAAACAATCTACAGCACTAATTTACGTAACTATATCATTATTAATAGCTAAATGTACATGTAAATGTACAGTTTATTGGGAAAAATATTCAGTCAGTACTGACCTTTGTATATCAAGACCTTGTCCTGAACTGTTCACCTTTCGGGATTAGAAAAAAATGGTTAGTTTACTTAACTGTAGTTTCTCCTCTCTTTTTAAAATTTACATGTATGCAACTCTTATCCCTTCGAATGGAGTGGATCTACTCCTGAGCAGACCTGGCTGGCAACTTCTTCCCACAGTTTAAACTGTTTTATTATCTACCTATCATTGACAAAACATAGGCTTGATTGCTGTCATCTCCCAGATCCTGTCTTTGATCGAACAGCGGTTGGTAATTGAGCCTGTGACAAATGAGGCCCTCTTTGGGGTGGGGATGGGGAGAGATATGTAATACATGCTTCAAATATGGTCATTTTGCGTTTTAAAGAGTAGGCCATGTCTCTGTCCGTATTTGACCCATCTTGATGTCATTTTCCACAATTTCATTTGCTCTAAAGGCCATTCGATTATCGGAATTTAACCCTGACAGGGCCTCACAAAATGTGGACAAAACTCTTTCCTATTTTTGCAACACCCTTGGGTTTGTTATCAAGTAAAAGTAACAACTGTGGCCATTTTGGGCCCTCGGATGGTTGCACTTCATTAATGTCACATAGTCACCGCTTGATTCAGCAAGAAGCACAAACTACCGTGAAATTCTGCAATATAGCCAGTGACCTTGCGCATGTGCACACGTATCTATATCATCCTGCTATTAGCAGCCAGGAATATTTGTTTCATTCTTTTTGGACTCATCAACATGAGTTTTGACATAAACCCAGGCAAAAGAGACTCATTTATGTGCAAATTAATGTACCTAACCATTTAACAACCAAACCAAGGGCAAAACACCCCTTTATTTAGCACACATGTAGTAACATCATTATTAAAATTAATGATGTCTACTAAAATGACCTCTGGCAACCAGTGTATTGTTAGCAAGGAATGCCAAATGGTTTCTACAGTACAGCTAGTATTGACCTGAGATCAGGCGGAATTTTAATGGTTCTCATACATTCTCTCTAATGGCTACCGCTAAACTTGGTTTTCGTTTCGCCTTGCCTGCCAGAATGTTATTTACAAAGGAAAACAAAAATTGAGCCTGATCTCAGGTTAAGCTAGTATCAGCTATAAAGTCATTAAAAGGAATTCGCTGAGTTGAATTAAAAGAATGCATAAGGGAGTGTTCATTATTAATTTATCCTTTGGGGGAAGGGGTCGACTAAATCATAGGGGGGGGCAGAAAACTTTGAGGTGCTTCCTTGGGGGGGGGGGTCATTTGAGTTTCAAGATAGTTAGTGGGGGGAGGGGGGGATCATGAAAGTTTTCTCATGTCATGTGGACCCAAAGAATGGAATGCAGCCCCAGGTCAAATGTAAGCCATCTTTTTCACAAGGGAGATATTCATCTTGATGCCCAGGCAAAGAAATCAGGGACTTTAGTGCGCAATATGTGGTGTCTCGTGAGCATGTAGAGAGAACAGAACCCTGAGTGGTCAAAGTCCATCAGAGTCAAGGCAAGACAAGAAAAAGTAAGAGGAAAGAAGCAGAAATCTGTGGACGACTATGATTAGGCTTCTCTGCTAGAACAAGGAAAGCAAGGGACACTCACAATGCCTGAAGTGGATAAGCACCACCCCCTACCAAACAAAGGTAAAAAACCAGGTAAGATGCGATGCATCACACTTCACTTATCCGCAGGCAACGCATACATGGGTCCACAAGAGAACATCCAGGAAGAACATGAAGAAGAAAGTGAGGAGGAAGTGGATTTAGCAGAGGTTGACAGTGGTGATGACTCAAGAGACAGTTGTCTTGACAGTGAATCAACCGACAATGGCAGTGAGCTTACAGAAGTTACTATGTCTAATACTTCTTCAAGCACCAGATCTGGAAGAAGAGTGGGACCAACGGCACAAGAGGAACATTTTTTTCACTAAATCAATGTATGTTTCTTACAAAACAATTCTTTTTAAACAGAATATTGCATCGTGTAAATTATTTCACCTTATATAAAAGATGGGGGGAGGGGGTTGCATGAGTTTTGACGTTACTCTTGAGGCCTGAGCAAGAGGGGGTTTAAAGATATTGAAAGTGGGACAGTTAAAAATGCCGGACCTCCCCGCAAAGGATAAATAATGAACACTCCATAATATCAAACAGTTTTTGAAAGTTTAAAACGTCTGTTTGATTTCATCTTTTATGCAAATTGTGGTGAATTATGAAATTTCGGTACCGTTGTAGTTTCCTGCTGAAAGTTAATGAGCTTTTAATAATATTATCTACAACAAAGTGGCTTTCGCAGGGCGCACATACAACTCAAACCAGGTTAAACAAATCTTGGACTTAATTTAAACGCGCGGCGCGCGATATAGGATTATGATAACAACACTGGAAGAAGATAAACAAACCACGCCATATAATACAAGTTGTTTATACTGATGTAACTGGGTTTTAGACCCACTCACCTCTTTGTTTTTTGTGGCTCTTTCTCTACCCTTTTCCAAAGATTTTCCAGATTGTTTGCTGACAAGCGACGTGAAAGAACCCTCCGAAATAAGAGGCAAACTGGGCCATGCTTGATCTTTGTCCACAAATGAATCCGGTAATGGATTGTTTACTTCATTAATCTCGTGAACGCTGTTGGAACTGTAAACAGGCTCCGAAACGATTCCATAACGCCCAGAGCTTATAGATGGAAGCATAGAGACTGAAATGAGTATCTCCTAAGAGTGAGCATGGGAGAAATTTGAAAGACTGTTAAACCGGGTACGACCACTCAAATCAAAGCTCCATGGAGACGTTCTAGAAACTGCAGGATACCATTTGCTTTAGTCGTCCAACTCTCGGTAAAGAAAGTAAAACAGAACAGCAGGAAAGGTGCTCTCTTCCTACTCTATACGTATCACTCAATTTCAAGGCAATTGAATTCAGTTTTCATAACGTAAAGCAAGTCGGTTCCCCAGAAACTCAGTCTTCGGATTAGATGTGTCAGGGAGGGGTGGGTTGGGGGGATCGGAGGAGATCAATACGACGCGCTCGCATGACCGTGACGAGATACTCCCTGCTCCGGTGGGATGGGGAAATGGCAATTCGTTCTTTTTCTTTTCTTTTTCCTATTTTTGCTGTTGTTGTTGACTTTTTTTTTTCGGCTTTCACTGTCAACATTTTTTAAAACCTGTCCATTTTTTTATTATTCCATTTTCATCATCATCATCATCGATTGCCCGTTTCAGAAGGCGAACTTTTCATGAACCGAATCGCGAACGAGCAAATTATTTTGATTCAGACGCCGATCATAATTCCAGCCGAATTAAAGTCAAAAGGAGAAAAATGCTCATTTCGGTCAAACTGCTTACAAAATGCGTTGTAACAACTTATACATTTGGTTCGGTACATGAAAAGTTTATTTTCGGAATTTTACGGTCATTGACGTCGTTTGGTGTTTTGAAAACCTTGACCGGAAGTGCTGACCTGAAAATAGTGTTACAAAACATGGTTTCTTTTTCTGAGCCCAGCGTAAACCTAACGCTTAACTTGAGATCTATAAAGCATTTCAGGATCGCTTGACTGTTCTTAATAGACATACGATAGTTTAGATTACTGGTTTTTTCGATTTGTGAAATTTATTGAGAATATAAGACTGCCGGTCATCAGCATTAATTAACCTTGACCGGTTAATTACCGGCCATATAGCCACAGCGTAAATCGAATGCCATAAATATTGTAATAAATAAACAAATAAATAAAAGTTCGGCGTCAGTAGCTTGCGTAGCATGGCGGTTTTGTCGAACGCACTACTGCCCGCCTTTAATACTTTGCGCGCGCAAGCGAGGAAGCTAAGTAGCCTGATTCATTCGATTGCTTACTGAGGGAATAGTAATCGGATGAAGGTACTCAGGTGGAACGCGTCCCCAGGCTGTTTATGATCCGTATCTTCGCAGTGTAGTTTTGTACTTCCTGTTTCAATTCTGGGTTAACGGGCGAAAGTTCACAATTTCTGTCAGAAAAATGTCCAACTCGTTTCCTGTCCCAGACCTAATTGCAAAGAAGCGTGATGGCGATGAACTTTCCGAGAGCGAAATACACCACTTCATTAAATGTGCGACGTCCAATTCTGCCTCTGAAAGCCAGATTGGGGCTATGCTAATGGCTATCTACCTCAAGGGAATGAATCGCGATGAAACTGTACATCTCACCAAGGCCATGATGTCGACAGGAAGCATTTTATCGTGGCCTGAAGAATGGCAGGGAAGCGTGGCGGATAAGCATTCGACGGGTGGCGTCGGGGACAAAGTTAGCCTCGTGCTTGCACCCGCTTTAGCCGTTTCAGGGATCAAGGTCCCCATGATTTCTGGACGAGGTCTTGGGCACACAGGTACGCATTTTATGTACTTCGTTTATTCAGTGCTAAATTTCATCTTCTATTTTACGTTTCTTGATGTCGAATCGCCTCCACTATTGAGCTTGCTGGTTTCTTGATTTATTATTCAATTGTGAATCATGCATGTACGTTTCTTTTAATTGAGTTTTAGTTTGTAACAAAAGTCGCTGTAAAACCTTTCAGCTGGCTGTAGTAATAAAATATTACTTGTGTATTCACAATATTCCTCGTATTTCGGCTATGTATTTTATTTACACTTCTCGGAAGCAAAACAAATTTAGGCTGTTCTTGGTCTTATTAGCCCTAATGAGGAACTTGAGGGGAGGGGCGAAGGGCTTAAAAAAATAAACATTGCAGTTGCTTAATTCATAATTTGACGACCACAGGAATAAAAGTGTCCAAGAAGTTCAAGAGTCAACATAATATACATAATGTCTCTTAAATAAAGTTTGGGGTTCCTAAAAGGCTGAAGACCAATATCACTACTAAACTAATATCATTTCAAATGTCTGATTTTTTATTTCATGGAAAACTAAATTAACCCTTTAATCCCGGATATTAACCTTTTAATTAACGCATATTTGGGCATAGATGGTAAGGTATTAGAACTGCTATAAAGTGAAAAAATGATCATGCTTATAAAATCGCTTATTTGAAATGTAACCTAAACTAAAATTCCAAAAATGAAGCATTTTTATTGAAGAAACCGAGAAAATAAAGGCCAGAGTTGGAATCTAAGAAAATGGAATGCAGCCCCAGGTCAAATGTAAGCCATCTTTTTCACAAGGGAGATATTCATCTTGATGCCCAGGCAAAGAAATCAGGGACTTTAGTGCGCAATATGTGGTGTCTCGTGAGCATGTAGAGAGAACAGAACCCTGAGTGGTCAAAGTCCATCAGAGTCAAGGCAAGACAAGAAAAAGTAAGAGGAAAGAAGCAGAAATCTGTGGACGACTATGATTAGGCTTCTCTGCTAGAACAAGGAAAGCAAGGGACACTCACAATGCCTGAAGTGGATAAGCACCACCCCCTACCAAACAAAGGTAAAAAACCAGGTAAGATGCGATGCATCACACTTCACTTATCCGCAGGCAACGCATACATGGGTCCACAAGAGAACATCCAGGAAGAACATGAAGAAGAAAGTGAGGAGGAAGTGGATTTAGCAGAGGTTGACAGTGGTGATGACTCAAGAGACAGTTGTCTTGACAGTGAATCAACCGACAATGGCAGTGAGCTTACAGAAGTTACTATGTCTAATACTTCTTCAAGCACCAGATCTGGAAGAAGAGTGGGACCAACGGCACAAGAGGAACATTTTTTTCACTAAATCAATGTATGTTTCTTACAAAACAATTCTTTTTAAACAGAATATTGCATCGTGTAAATTATTTCACCTTATATAAAAGATGGGGGGAGGGGGTTGCATGAGTTTTGACGTTACTCTTGAGGCCTGAGCAAGAGGGGGTTTAAAGATATTGAAAGTGGGACAGTTAAAAATGCCGGACCTCCCCGCAAAGGATAAATAATGAACACTCCATAATATCAAACAGTTTTTGAAAGTTTAAAACGTCTGTTTGATTTCATCTTTTATGCAAATTGTGGTGAATTATGAAATTTCGGTACCGTTGTAGTTTCCTGCTGAAAGTTAATGAGCTTTTAATAATATTATCTACAACAAAGTGGCTTTCGCAGGGCGCACATACAACTCAAACCAGGTTAAACAAATCTTGGACTTAATTTAAACGCGCGGCGCGCGATATAGGATTATGATAACAACACTGGAAGAAGATAAACAAACCACGCCATATAATACAAGTTGTTTATACTGATGTAACTGGGTTTTAGACCCACTCACCTCTTTGTTTTTTGTGGCTCTTTCTCTACCCTTTTCCAAAGATTTTCCAGATTGTTTGCTGACAAGCGACGTGAAAGAACCCTCCGAAATAAGAGGCAAACTGGGCCATGCTTGATCTTTGTCCACAAATGAATCCGGTAATGGATTGTTTACTTCATTAATCTCGTGAACGCTGTTGGAACTGTAAACAGGCTCCGAAACGATTCCATAACGCCCAGAGCTTATAGATGGAAGCATAGAGACTGAAATGAGTATCTCCTAAGAGTGAGCATGGGAGAAATTTGAAAGACTGTTAAACCGGGTACGACCACTCAAATCAAAGCTCCATGGAGACGTTCTAGAAACTGCAGGATACCATTTGCTTTAGTCGTCCAACTCTCGGTAAAGAAAGTAAAACAGAACAGCAGGAAAGGTGCTCTCTTCCTACTCTATACGTATCACTCAATTTCAAGGCAATTGAATTCAGTTTTCATAACGTAAAGCAAGTCGGTTCCCCAGAAACTCAGTCTTCGGATTAGATGTGTCAGGGAGGGGTGGGTTGGGGGGATCGGAGGAGATCAATACGACGCGCTCGCATGACCGTGACGAGATACTCCCTGCTCCGGTGGGATGGGGAAATGGCAATTCGTTCTTTTTCTTTTCTTTTTCCTATTTTTGCTGTTGTTGTTGACTTTTTTTTTTCGGCTTTCACTGTCAACATTTTTTAAAACCTGTCCATTTTTTTATTATTCCATTTTCATCATCATCATCATCGATTGCCCGTTTCAGAAGGCGAACTTTTCATGAACCGAATCGCGAACGAGCAAATTATTTTGATTCAGACGCCGATCATAATTCCAGCCGAATTAAAGTCAAAAGGAGAAAAATGCTCATTTCGGTCAAACTGCTTACAAAATGCGTTGTAACAACTTATACATTTGGTTCGGTACATGAAAAGTTTATTTTCGGAATTTTACGGTCATTGACGTCGTTTGGTGTTTTGAAAACCTTGACCGGAAGTGCTGACCTGAAAATAGTGTTACAAAACATGGTTTCTTTTTCTGAGCCCAGCGTAAACCTAACGCTTAACTTGAGATCTATAAAGCATTTCAGGATCGCTTGACTGTTCTTAATAGACATACGATAGTTTAGATTACTGGTTTTTTCGATTTGTGAAATTTATTGAGAATATAAGACTGCCGGTCATCAGCATTAATTAACCTTGACCGGTTAATTACCGGCCATATAGCCACAGCGTAAATCGAATGCCATAAATATTGTAATAAATAAACAAATAAATAAAAGTTCGGCGTCAGTAGCTTGCGTAGCATGGCGGTTTTGTCGAACGCACTACTGCCCGCCTTTAATACTTTGCGCGCGCAAGCGAGGAAGCTAAGTAGCCTGATTCATTCGATTGCTTACTGAGGGAATAGTAATCGGATGAAGGTACTTAGGTGGAACGCGTCCCCAGGCTGTTTATGATCCGTATCTTTGCAGTGTAGTTTTGTACTTCCTGTTTCAATTCTGGGTTAACGGGCGAAAGTTCACAGTTTCTGTCAGAAAAATGTCCAACTCGTTTCCTATCCCAGACCTAATTGCAAAGAAGCGTGATGGCGATGAACTTTCCGAGAGCGAAATACACCACTTCATTAAATGTGCGACGTCCAATTCTGCCTCTGAAAGCCAGATTGGGGCTATGCTAATGGCTATCTACCTCAAGGGAATGAATCGCGATGAAACTGTACATCTCACCAAGGCCATGATGTCGACAGGAAGCATTTTATCGTGGCCTGAAGAATGGCAGGGAAGCGTGGCGGATAAGCATTCGACGGGTGGCGTCGGGGACAAAGTTAGCCTCGTGCTTGCACCCGCTTTAGCCGTTTCAGGGATCAAGGTCCCCATGATTTCTGGACGAGGTCTTGGGCACACAGGTACGCATTTTATGTACTTCGTTTATTCAGTGCTAAATTTCATCTTCTATTTTACGTTTCTTGATGTCGAATCGCCTCCACTATTGAGCTTGCTGGTTTCTTGATTTATTATTCAATTGTGAATCATGCATGTACGTTTCTTTTAATTGAGTTTTAGTTTGTAACAAAAGTCGCTGTAAAACCTTTCAGCTGGCTGTAGTAATAAAATATTACTTGTGTATTCACAATATTCCTCGTATTTCGGCTATGTATTTTATTTACACTTCTCGGAAGCAAAACAAATTTAGGCTGTTCTTGGTCTTATTAGCCCTAATGAGGAACTTGAGGGGAGGGGCGAAGGGCTTAAAAAAATAAACATTGCAGTTGCTTAATTCATAATTTGACGACCACAGGAATAAAAGTGTCCAAGAAGTTCAAGAGTCAACATAATATACATAATGTCTCTTAAATAAAGTTTGGGGTTCCTAAAAGGCTGAAGACCAATATCACTACTAAACTAATATCATTTCAAATGTCTGATTTTTTATTTCATGGAAAACTAAATTAACCCTTTAATCCCGGATATTAACCTTTTAATTAACGCATATTTGGGCATAGATGGTAAGGTATTAGAACTGCTATAAAGTGAAAAAATGATCATGCTTATAAAATCGCTTATTTGAAATGTAACCTAAACTAAAATTCCAAAAATGAAGCATTTTTATTGAAGAAACCGAGAAAATAAAGGCCAGAGTTGGAATCTAAGAGCAATATTTTGGAAATATTTATAATCACAGAGCTGAAATGGAATGTAATACTTCCGTTGTTGACAGAAATGTTGCAATTTTCACAACCAGACACCTGATAATGTGTTATGAGTTTCAAGTAAGCCAGGACAAATTATAACAACATTCCCTTACATTCTGCTTCCCCAAATAAAGTATGATTGTTTTGATATTATGGCATTTACAAAGCCTTCTAGAGACACGTTTGATACATGATCCTTGCAAGGTTGATGACAGATAGGGCCACAGTTAAATGCAAATTAGCTCGTTGCTAAGGCTGCTGTGATGGGATATACCCAGGGCGGATAAAATAATGGTCTAATAGGCTCTTTGCATGACTGTGGTCACGTGATCAACTTTCAGTAAACATGTAAACAGTTTGCTTTTGAAAAATTTTGGTAGCACCAGCTGAAAGGTCAAATAAGAATTTGGTAACCTGAGAATTTTCATCCGTACATCTCAAAAGTAGCAATAGCCATGGCCGCTGAAAGTTAAGCCCTTAAAAACATAATACACAAATGTTCAGAGTGCGTATGGGGGTTATTTGAAATTAAATTAGAGAAAGTCCATGACATCAAGTTTTCTGAAGAGATACTATGTCTTCAGGGAACTCTTCTAGCTTCTCAATGCCACAAAATCAAGAGAAAAAGCAGATACCAAGGTACGAGGTTTGCTTTATGAACAAAAATCATCCAATTATGTAGCTTGTTTGCAAAACATGCGCAAAAATTCTAATGTCAGACCCAGAGATTTCGCTGACGACCCTGCAGCTGTGTCTCTTGCCTTTGAGGCGATCGAGACGATCATATGGAAACTACCAATCACCCCAGTCGTCCAGATCGTCTCGAAATATTTTGAAATGACTGGGGCGATCAGGATGATCCGAACGATCATATGGAAACCAGGCTTTAGAAGCATTAATTTGCATGAGAAAAACAACTTTTGCCACCCAGTTACGCTTGCATGGTTTTCCATACAAATCCTTGTAAATTCTTCAATTTTTAAACTTTCGTTTGATCTTTCTCTTACGCATTTAAGGGCTCAAATTGTCTGTTGTGAATTAAAAGGAGGTTTCAGCCCTGTAATGCTTAAGGAAATATCTCATGACAGTTTTGAAAATTTCGAAATTACAAGGAATATTGTATGGAAAACCATGCAAGCGTGACTGGATGGCAAAAGTTGTTTTTCTCATACAAATGCTTCCAACTTTCAGTGGCCATCACTACTGTTGAGATATATGGTTGAAAATTCTCAGGCTACCTATTTTTAATATGCTCTTTCAGCTTGTGCTAACGAAATTTTTCAAAAGGGAACTGTTTTTGTGTTTACCGAAAGTTGATCAGGTGATCAAGTCATGCAAAGAGCCTATACCTATACAATTATAAGCCTAGCTTTTAAGAAACAGTTAGTATCAATTTCCATATAAGCGTAAGTGAAGCAAAATAGATACAAATTGCCGTGGTTGTAAAGTTTTTTCCTTTTGAAAGCGTAAATTCGCATGAAAGAGTTCAGCTTGCACAAAATAATACAAAATGAAACGAATCAAATTGAAAAGTGGTTAAAAAAAGTCAGGATATTTCAGTTCGTTGGAAAGTAAGTGATTGGGTAGGTGATTTGCAAACTGATAAAAACAACATCTAGCGCAGTTCAAAACCATTCGGCTTCCTGAATTGTTTTTCTTGAATTCTATACATTCTGCTGGACTAAATTGTTAAATTAAAATATCTTGTGAAGTCAAAATTTTTATGAAGTTGAGCGTTTGCATTTCCTTATAAAACAGGAAGTAGCGCGAAAGCTTCGATTTATAGATTTTCTTAAGTTAAATTACCTTTGTATTGTGGAAACGATACCCTAACACTTGGGTCTTGAATCAAAGGTTGTGACATGCGTCGGCTTCCTTTGTGAGTGTGCAAATAGTCATGGGACCCGCGATTTTGTGGGCAACACGGATCTACAGGCGCCGTTCCGTAATGCTCCATCCTCGGGAAAGTCTCTTATAAGAATTTATTCACTCAAGTGGATGGGGTGGGAGTGAGCGCTTATTTGAGTTTGATTGGGAGGAGGATGGGGTGGGCGCTTATTCGAGGCTGGGCACTTAGTAACTTTTTCTGGCTTTAGGATGGGCGCTTATTTGAGGTGGGCGCTAATTCGAGGTTGGGCGCTTATTCGAATAAATACGGTATGTAGGAGAAACATTGGATAAGTTCCCTCTCTAAAATATTGTTATAACATTAATTTTATTGTCTTCATTCCTGATCACCTCCATTTTCCTGGCACAGTCTTTTCTACTCCTTCTATACTTTTATATGCTCTTAAAAATCCAAGAAAAAGAATAAGGTGTGTACTGCTGATCATGTGTGGCAAATTTAGCCTGCAAACATATTTCTCCATGTCTTATATCTCCATATGGCCAGGAACATTCGCAAAAAAAGCGGTAATTTACTAGACAGCTGAGTATAATGCACCTATCAATGTAAATCCCGTGGGGGGGGAGTGCGGGCAAGGGGCGGGGATTTGATGCCTGAGACTATCCCTCTGTCGGGCTTTTGATCGTGCGAAGTGACCCCGGAGTCGGGACATTTGACTTTGACCGACAGAAGCCTGGTATCAATTCAGAAGCGGTTACCAAATCCATCCCTCGAGGCTTTCTGAAAGTCACGCTGTTCGAGAAAGGTGTGAAGTTTTCATTTGTTTTAATCGCCATAATCCAATACTTTAAACTGTCATCTAAACAGATAATGTCTATTTTGAGAAAGTTTTTATCTTCAAGTTCCCATCTGATTGTAAAACTTGATTGAAATCGAATTCCACCATGAAAGTCAGAGGATTTTTTACGGGTCACTGATCCGACCTGTTCCGACATGTTGAGCAGATGTTATAAAGCATTTTACGTTACTTTTGAAATGTTCTTTTAATTCGTTTTATACAGTATTATAGTATTGTTTGTTTAGATTTTTTCCCCTGGGGTGGGGGCTTTTTTGACACTTTTGATTGACCTTTCGTTTCCCACCCTGGGGAAAATGATCAAAAAATTTTAAAATTTGTCAAATCCCCCCCCTTGCCCGCACTCCCCCGCCCCCCACAGGGTTTACATTGATAGGTACATAATAATTTTTTCCAAAAAACATCATGGAGGCAATTGGACAGCCTATTTATAACAATCTTTAATTAATCTGTAATTAGTATAAATTCAAGGAAGCAGGAGCCAATTACCTTGGCTTCTTATGGAAGTCTTGATGGGACAACTTATGGACAATAATTATTGAAATAATAATAACAATAATTATTGAAATGTTGTTTTAATGAAGGTGGGACCCTGGACAAGTTAGAGTCCATCCCAGGCTTCCAAGTAAACATGGACTCCAAACAGATGTGTGACATCCTGGAGAAAGTTGGCTGTTGCATTGTGGGACAGACAGATTCACTTGTCCCTGCTGATAAGGTGTTGTATGGTATAAGGGACATCACTGGAACAGTAGCATCAATGCCTCTTATATCAAGCTCCATTATTTCCAAGAAAGCTTCTGGTATGTTTAGTAATTGCCTGTAATGTCTGGTAATGTCATTTACAAAAATATATCCACACTTCTTCCTTGACAGATATATGTACTGTGCTAAACGCTTGAATTGGTGCCCCCTAAACTAACACATTATATATGGTCCCGTCTTCAAATAAGCACCCTAAACTTGCATACCTGAAAACTCAAAAATTAATTAGCGCTGCCGCCATAATTCCATTCCAGAAAGCATTTCAGCCCTGGTACTTGATGTGAAGTCCGGCAAAGCAGCATTCTCTACCACAGAAGAAAAGGCTCAAGCCCTCGCACATAGTCTGGTAGGAACCTGCAAAGGACTTGGGATCAAGGCAGTGGCCCTTATCACCAGCATGGATGCACCCCTGGGAAGATTAGTTGGTAACTCTGTAGAAGTTGCTGAAGCCATCAGCTGCCTGAATGGAAAGGGCCCTGAGGACTTGACGGAGTTGGTGTGTGAAGAAGGTAAGAAGTCCCATCTCTAGGATATCATGACTGTTTCCAGCAATTTGGACTTGTTGCTAAAAATATCCCAGACTTGCTGAAATGAGACCCTTATTATAAGTTGTCAGAAGTTTATATAAAATTATGCACTTAGCATTATAACATAACAAAAGTAAATGACATGCTCTGATTGGTCAGTTAGCCACCGCCATTTGCCTGTGGGTGCACGCCATGAGTTAGCACAGTAAAATTTAGGCAAATTCAGCAAATCTCCTCTCCTGACGGTAAAATGCACCAATGAAATGCAAAAAGTGGAAGTCGAAGAAAATACTCAGTTGTCATTTTGAAGAAAAAGGGTTAAAAGATCGAGTGACAAATTTGCCCTGGATAAATTTAATCACTGTTTTCCCCTTGGCTAGAATTGGCAGAAGAAAAACTGAGTGAAACAACAACAACATGATATTAATTTGAGGAGGACTCGGAAAAAAAATCCGAGTCCCAGATGGGATTTGAACCCACGACCCTCCGTGATCTAGTCGGATGCTCTAACCACTTGAGCTACTGGAGACTCTATGGTGAGCAAGGGCCAATTTGTGGGTCTCGACTGGAACCGCATCACGCGGCTACACAGCCAAGTAATGATAGGCACACAAGAAGTGAAGAACTCACTAACAGCATCGCGCTGTCACCTTAAAGCATATCAAAGATGCGGCCAACCAACCTCCAAAGTGAGTATATTAAAGATGAAACAACAACAACATGATATTAATTTGAGGAGGACTCGGAAAAAAAATCCGAGTCCCAGATGGGATTTGAACCCACGACCCTCCGTGATCTAGTCGGATGCTCTAACCACTTGAGCTACTGGAGACTCTATGGTGAGCAAGGGCCAATTTGTGGGTCTCGACTGGAACCGCATCACGCGGCTACACAGCCAAGTAATGATAGGCACACAAGAAGTGAAGAACTCACTAACAGCATCGCGCTGTCACCTTAAAGCATATCAAAGATGCGGCCAACCAACCTCCAAAGTGAGTATATTGAAGATGAAACAACAACAACATGATATTAATTTGAGGAGGACTCGGAAAAAAAATCCGAGTCCCAGTGAGTGCAAACTGAGTGAGCATTAAAGATTTATGGTACATTTTGTGTTTTTATAGCAGAGAAAGTCTGTTTGAAATGGAAATTTGTCAGTTAGCATTGTGTTATTGACTTTTTGATCGCTGAGGGTAAAAGGCAGAATGAGAAATTGCAGAGTGGCATGTGGCATGGCTTGCGGAATGACATAATTATGCGGAATGTCATATGTGCAGAATAACCCAAAGAAATAAATTAAACTGAAAAGTGCGCCCTTTTTAGGCGCCAATCAATTTGCAAACACAGCTGCTGTTTTAATGTTGCGAGCTTGACATACTATGACACTGATAAAAAAGTCATGAAGGCTCATTGCCAATTAGCGTTTTCCGCCCAGCCACAAAGATTCTTCTTGCCTTTATTAGTCGGGCTATATGGTACATGGCAGTACCGACAAGTACTACATGTCAAAAGTCGGCCATTGAACAAAAGATGTTTTGGAAGGTCACACTCCCTTCCACTTTAATTTTTCCTGCAAAACAAGATGATTGTCAATTAACTAAGCAGTTTCCCTTTACCTATATTTGAATTTGAAACCGCTTGAGAAGTGTTTCTTTTTCAGATGGTGGGTTACGTGATCGTGACATAGATGAAATGGATCTTGTTTTTTGTTTCCTTGGATGCATGGTTAAGTTTCTGGCACGTGATGCTAACAGCTGGCGGAGAAAGGCGAGTTTGAATCCTGGCAATGGAGTCTGTGTCTTTTTTTCCTTTTTTTTCCCCTTCCTACTGTTTTAGCATTTTTCATGATCAAACGCACACTCTCACTCAAACAAGGATAGTGCGAAGACCGCTGTGTGGAAAAGCCGAAAGGAGACAGAGAATGCAGTTCACTTCACTAGATTTCTGGATTTCAGATTTGAAATGTTTAATGACTTGGGGCGTTCATTTAGTCTAGCTTTATAGCTCAAATATGATCTGATCCTTAAAATAGTAGCTAACCTGAATTCACGTTCAAAAAGCGTTCTTTTCCCTCTAGTGCTTTGACATTTGACTATATTATAATAGTGGGCAGAAAGAAAGAAAGTATTGTCAAAAACACCAAAAATAAATAATTTTTTAAGTATTAAATAAGTATTACATAGACACGAATCAAATGCAGTAAAGCTTATTGCTACTTTCTGTTTTGCCTTGTTGGTTTGAGCCAGCAGTAATAAATGGACCAGCAAAGCAGTTGCTCACTCAAGTTGGCACCAAAAAAAGGCACGGCAAAGACGTACGCATGCTTTTCAGTTAAATAATATTTATTTCTTTGCGCCATTTTCCATATTTTACATTCAGCATAATTATGCCATTCCGCAAGCATGCCATTCTGTAAACTCATTCCGTCTTTTACCCTCACCGCTTTTTGGTCGAGCTGATGTTAAATTCAAGCAAATTTTGTAACGAGACATGCTCAAATTCGAGACAGCTTTGTTGTGTAGATTTCATCGCATCGATTAAAATTTTAGTTGAGTTTATACGGGCACATTACGCTAGAATAAGTGAATTTCATTTGAGTACAAAAACATTTGAATTTTCAAATAAATTTTCAAACATGACTTCTGTGTATATTACTTTGTTCATGTTCATTCATAACAGCAGTTCAGAGAACGGTCGAAAATCAACAGTTTCAGCGCCGGCTGTGTCCGAAAATTTCAGTTGCAATTTTGACTTTTGAAGCTGGATTTCTTCAGACGAATTTCGATACAAATCCAGTTAATTCCTTTTTAACATCAGTGTTACCTCTTATTCTAAAGGAAATACAGTCAAATTTTCTCATTTCTACTTTACCTTTATTTCAAAAATTATCACATAAATAACCTTCAAGTTGATAATTATTACAGTTTTAGCTTATGAGGGTGAGCTTGTTTTTTAAAGTCTTTTTAGGTAGTGTTTAAGCTTATATAGTTCCAGCTGTAGTTTTCCCTCAAAGTATTTACCCTAATATTACGAGCAAGTAGAGAGATGCCATTCAGAATCAGGTTGTTAGACCCCTGGTTGTAAGAGTCCTGGTTGTAAGACCCCCGGTGGTGAGAGTCCTAGTTATAAGACCGCTAGTTGTAAGACTCCTGATTGTAAGACCCCTGGTTGTAAGACCCCTGGTTGTATAAGTCCTGGTTGTACGAGTCCTGGTTGTAGGAGTCTTGGTTGTAAGACCCCTGGTTGTAAGAGTCCTGGTTGTAAGACCCCTGGTTGTAAGAGTCCTGGTTGTAAGAGTCCTGGTTGTAAGAGTCCTGGTTGTAAGACCCTTGGTTGTAAGACTCCTGGTTGTGAGACTCCTGGTTGTAAGACCCCTGGTTGCTAGAGTCCCGGTTCTAAGACCCCTGGTTGTAAGAGTCCTGGTTTTAAGACCCCTGCCTGTAAGAGTCCTGGTTGTAAGACTCCTGGTTGTAAGATTCTTGATTGTAAGACCCCTGGTTGTAAGGGTCCTGGTTGTAAGACCCCTGGTTGTAAGAGTCCTGGTTGTAAGACCCCTGGTTGCAAGAGTCCTGGTTGTAAGAGTCCTGGTTGTAAGACCCCTTGTTGTAAGAGTCCTGGGGCCCGTTTCTCGAAGGTCCCGATAATTAACGGGCCTGGTAAGCTGTCTCCGTTTACATTAAAGATCAAGGTTTCAATAGTTTTGCATTCAACACGATAAAACTGTCAGTTAATGAAACAAAATGGAGTAGTTTGCTAGCCAGGACCCGCGCTCTTATTCTTTATATTTCGATTTGAATATTTGATTTCGGGCCCGTAAAAATACTGGGACTTTCGAGAAACGGGCCCCTGGTTGTAAGACCCCTGGTTGTAAGAGTCCTGGTTGTAAGACCCCTGGTTGTAAGAGTCCTGGTTGTAAGACCCCTGGTTGTAAGAGTCCTGGTTGTAAGACCCCTGGTTGTAAGAGTCCTGGTTGTAAGACCCCTGGTTGTAAGAGTCCTGGTTGTAAGACCCCTGGTTGTAAGAGTCCTGGTTGTAAGACCCCTGGTTGTAAGAGTCCTGGTTGTAAGACCCCTGGTTGTAAGAGTCCTGGTTGTAAGACCCCTGGTTGTAAGAGTCCTGGTTGTAAGACCCCTGGTTGTAAGAGTCCTGGTTGTAAGACCCCTGGTTGTAAGAGTCCTGGTTGTAAGACCCCTGGTTGTAAGAGTCCTGGTTGTAAGACCCCTGGTTGTAAGAGTCCTGGTTGTAAGACCCCTGGTTGTAAGAGTCCTGGTTGTAAGACCCCTGGTTGTAAGAGTCCTGGTTGTAAGACCCCTGGTTGTAAGAGTCCTGGTTGTAAGACCCCTGGTTGTAAGAGTCCTGGTTGTAAGACCCCTGGTTGTAAGAGTCCTGGTTGTAAGACCCCTGGTTGTAAGAGTCCTGGTTGTAAGACCCCTGGTTGTAAGAGTCCTGGTTGTAAGACCCCTGGTTGCAAGAGTCCTGGTTGTAAGAGTCCTGGTTGTAAGACCCCTTGTTGTAAGAGTCCTGGGGCCCGTTTCTCGAAGGTCCCGATAATTAACGGGCCTGGTAAGCTGTCTCCGTTTACATTAAAGATCAAGGTTTCAATAGTTTTGCATTCAACACGATAAAACTGTCAGTTAATGAAACAAAATGGAGTAGTTTGCTAGCCAGGACCCGCGCTCTTATTCTTTATATTTCGATTTGAATATTTGATTTCGGGCCCGTAAAAATACTGGGACTTTCGAGAAACGGGCCCCTGGTTGTAAGACCCCTGGTTGTAAGAGTCCTGGTTGTAAGACCCCTGGTTGTAAGACTCCTGGTTGTAAGACTCCTGGTTGTAAGAGTCCTGGTTGTAAGACCCCTGGTTGTAAGAGTCCTGGTTGTAAGAGTCCTGATTGTAAGAGTCCTGGTTGTAAGAGTCCTGGTTGTAAGAGTCCTGGTTGTAAGATCCCTGGTTGTTAGAGTCCCGGTTCTAAGACCCCTGGTTGTAAGAGTCCTGGTTGTAAGACCCCCGGTTGTAAGAGTCCTGGTTGTGAGAGTGCTGGTTTTAAGAGTCCTGATTGTAAGACCCCTGGTTGTAAGAGTCCTGGTTGTAAGACCCTTGGCTGTAAGAGTCCTGGTTGTAAGACCGCTGGTTTTAAGAGTCCTGGTTGTAGGAGTCCTGGTTGTAAGAGTCCTGGTTGTCAGACCCCTGGTTGTAAGAGTCCTGGTTGTAGGAGTCCTGGCTGTAAGACCCCTGGTTGTAAGAGTCCTGATTGAAAGACCCCTGGTTGTAAGAGTCCTGGTTGTAAGACCCCTGGTTGTAAGAGTCGTGGTTGTAGGAGTCCTGGTTGTAAGAACCCTGGTTGTAAGAGTCCTGATTGAAAGACCCCTGGTTGTAAGAGTCGTGGTTGTAAGACCCCTGGCTGTAAGAGTCCTGGTTGTAAGAGTCCTGGTTTTAAGACCCCTGGTTGTTAGAGTCCTGGTTCTAAGACCCCTGGTTGTAAGAGTCCTGGTTGTAAGATCCCTTGTTGTAAGAGTCCTGGTTGTAAGATCCCTGGTTGTAAGAGTCCTGGTTGTAAGACCCCTGGTTGTAAGAGTCCTGGTTGTAAGACCCCTGGTTGTAAGAGTCCTGGTTGTAAGACCCCTGGTTGTAAGAGTCCTGGTTGTAAGAGTCCTGGTCGTAGGAGTCCTGGTTGTAAGACGCCTGGTTGTAAGACCCCTGGTTGTAAGAGTCCTGGTTGTAAGACCCCTGGTTGTAAGAGTCCTGGTTGTAAGACCCCTGGTTGTAAGAGTCCTGGTTGTAAGACCCCTGGTTGTAAGAGTCCTGGTTGTAAGACCCCTGGTTGTAAGAGTCCTGGTTGTAAGACCCCTGGTTGTAAGAGTCCTGGTTGTAAGACCCCTGGTTGTAAGAGTCCTGGTTGTAAGACCCCTGGTTGTAAGAGTCCTGGTTGTAAGACCCCTGGTTGTAAGAGTCCTGGTTGTAAGACCCCTGGTTGTAAGAGTCCTGGTTGTAAGACCCCTGGTTGTAAGAGTCCTGGTTGTAAGACCCCTGGTTGTAAGAGTCCTGGTTGTAAGACCCCTGGTTGTAAGAGTCCTGGTTGTAAGACCCCTGGTTGTAAGAGTCCTGGTTGTAAGACCCCTGGTTGTAAGAGTCCTGGTTGTAAGACCCCTGGTTGTAAGAGTCCTGGTTGTAAGACCCCTGGTTGTAAGAGTCCTGGTTGTAAGACCCCTGGTTGTAAGAGTCCTGGTTGTAAGACCCCTGGTTGTAAGAGTCCTGGTTGTAAGACCCCTGGTTGTAAGAGTCCTGGTTGTAAGACCCCTGGTTGTAAGAGTCCTGGTTGTAAGACCCCTGGTTGTAAGAGTCCTGGTTGTAAGACCCCTGGTTGTAAGAGTCCTGGTTGTAAGACCCCTGGTTGTAAGAGTCCTGGTTGTAAGACCCCTGGTTGTAAGAGTCCTGGTTGTAAGACCCCTGGTTGTAAGAGTCCTGGTTGTAAGACCCCTGGTTGTAAGAGTCCTGGTTGTAAGACCCCTGGTTGTAAGAGTCCTGGTTGTAAGACCCCTGGTTGTAAGAGTCCTGGTTGTAAGACCCCTGGTTGTAAGAGTCCTGGTTGTAAGACCCCTGGTTGTAAGAGTCCTGGTTGTAAGACCCCTGGTTGTAAGAGTCCTGGTTGTAAGACCCCTGGTTGTAAGAGTCCTGGTTTTAAGACCCCTGGTTGTAAGAGTCCTGGTTCTAAGACCCCTGGTTGTTAGAGTCCTGGTTGTCAGACCCCTGGTTGTAAGAGTGCTGGTTGTAAGACCCGTGGTTGTAAGAGTCCTGGTTTGTAAGACCCCTGGTTGTAAGAGTCCTGGTTGTAAGACCCCTGGTTGTAAGAGTCCTGGTTGTAAGACCCCTGGTTGTAAGAGTCCTGGTTGTCAGACCCCTGGTTGTAAGAGTCCTGGTTGTAAGACCCCTGGTTGTAAGAGTCCTGGTTGTCAGACCACTGGTTGTAAGAGTCCTGGTTGTAAGAGCCCGGTTGTAAGACCCCTGGTTGTAAGACCAATTTGCCTGAAGACGGAAAACGGTTGATTCAGCAAAAGAGAAAATCAAAGGCTCGGTTTTTAAAAACATGATTGGTTTAAGGGCGGGCAGATGGCAATATACATGAACACGTACTGATGACTCAACCGAAGGCAAGTGAAAATGTTTTCTTTTTTGATTATGTTATTTATGTAAGAAACAGTAAACGTTGCAGCTGTGCAACCATGGAGTTATGGATGCACTTGGGAGGTTTGCTAGGCACTCAAGAAGCTAGAATTCCACTCAGCTATCGCTTCTTGCAACTCTTACGCTTCCTTCATGCTTAGCAACCTTCCTTGTGCATCCATGAAGTGAAGTTTTTGGGGGAATTCAAACTACAGAAGAACTGTAATCAATCCTGCTAGTGTATGCTAGCTACAGCTTGCCTGTACAACTTACTTTCTTTGCACCCTGGCTGTGATATTTCCTGACTCCCAAACTTCCAGCTAGTGTTAGTGGGGATCTAGCATTCATTTTATTTCTTGGAACCTTAGACTGGAGGCATATTACTCTGTGATGTGCATAATTGGTCCAGAGAAGAATTAACAGGTACAATACCCCTCCCAGTAACTTTGCAACCTCAAAAAAGAATATGTTGCTTTTTCTTTCAAGGTGGTTATCTGCTTCATACTTTAAAGAAAGTGGATTCAGCTGAAGATGGCAAAAAACTCATTGCTGACAGCTTGGATAATGGTAAAGCTCTTCACAAATTCTGTGAGATGCTGACAGCACAGGGTGTTAAGCCAGATCTGGCACAAGAGCTTTGTACCCCTGGCTCAGACCCGTTCAGCATTCTACCCCTTGCTTCCCAAAAAATGGAGCTTGTGAGTGATAAAAGTGGAATAGTGTCTGAAATAGATGCCTTGGCAATAGCAAAAGTGCTTCATGAGCTGGGAGCAGGACGACATCATCCCGGTAGCAAGATTGATCATGGCATTGGTGCTACACTTAGTGTGCGAGTTGGTCAGTTTGTGAATGTGGGTGACAAATGGGTCACTATTCATCACAATGGTAACCTAGGTGATTCCCAGGTGGCCTCTTTGAAAGAGGCCTTTAAGATTGATGTAAATGGCGGTACTGTGGACTTGCCTGTTAGGTCAAGAATTATAGATGTTATTGATGGTCAAAGACCCTCAGTTTTTGTTTGCCAGTGAAAGTTCACGTTGTGATCATTAGCTAATCAAGGTATTTGATCTTTTATGATTGTTCGAAATGAGTCAAAATTTTAATATATTTTTATCTATTGGATTGTCAATTCTAAATTATTGTTACATTACACTAGAGTACTAATATAATATTAGAGTTTGAAAGATGGTGAGAACACAATATTAAGCATGCCCAAATGCACACAACTACAGTTTTAAAACTTGCAATTCAATAGAAGGTATAATCATTATTTTAATATTTTCACACTCAGAATCAATCAAAATAGACTACGAGCAGTCTCTCTTTTTTCTTGCCTGTTAAGCAAAGTACAGAGAAGAGACATCTAAAAGTATCAAGAAACATCTCTTGATCCTGATCTCCACTGCATCAGAGACCAACTAAATTAGCAAAGCGGGTTTTTTTCGGGACTAAAAATTATTTTAAAAATATCAAAGAACTATTTTTTGTCCAACAGGTGCATCTACTCCTCATAGGTATAAAATTTTTTATTTTCATAATTATTTAAAAGATACATGGTTCATTTTCAGTTGTTTCCACCAAAGGTTGTGCAGATTAGTAAAAAAGAGTGTCATGGTGATTACATTACTCACCAGTTTTCTAATGGTTGTAGGACATAATTAGTATTCTTGATATTACACTTAGTCAAATATTCTTATGAAATATTTTGTGGTGCATGAACTGGTCTTTCAAATAGTGTACCAATGATAGAACATTTGAAACATTGATAAAAATAAAAAATCTAGACAAAATTGATTATTGTTGGTTTGCTCATACTTAGTAAAGCCTCATCATGTATATTGTACTGAACAGTATGTTATGCGGGTAATCTTTCAGAGGATGGGTAGCTTCCAAACTAAACTGATCACAGGGTTGTCGGAACAGCAACAAGAAGATTTACTCCAAATATGAACGTAGCTTCCACCAAGTAAAATTCTACAACAGCACATAACTCGATAAAGTTACATGGCCCGTGCCAACTTGAATAAACACTGCTTCCATCACACTTGACTAAACATGACCAACGTTAAACTCTCTTCGCTTGTGGAAACAAGTTAAAATTTCACTTAGACTCATCAAATAATATACCCCTGCAAGAAAATTCTAGAACTTTCCCAAATAGTCTAATTAGAGAAAGATGGGAAAATATACAGCATTAGAAAGGCTTACTAAAAATCCTAAAGTAAACAAACTATGAACTCTCGCAAAGCTTCTGGAATGTCATGTTAGTCACGCAGGACAATTTTTGGTAACACAGTAGACATTGTTTATTATAATGGCTACCTCAAGGAGCAGGCAACATGAAGAAAATCCTGTGTTTTGATAGGCTACCCAAGTAGGAGCAGCATGCAAAGAAAGTCGTGTCTGGCTATTGGATTTTGCTATTGGGCTAGTGAATCCTGTTCTTGAGTGAAGTTTGCTGGGGGAATTCAAATTGCAGAAGAATTGTAATCAATCCTGCTCATCAAAATTTTTTTCAGGCTAGTTGAAAATAAATGGCTTTTGGGTTAGTACAGGCTAGCTACACCTTACACAGATAGCAAACTGTAATAATGACTTTCTTTGCATTCTGCTGAGCATAAAAATTTTAACATTTTGCTTTCTCAAAACTCCTGCAGAGATATTACCTATCAAACTGCTCAATAGTACATGTAAGAGGTGCATGTACATGTATGTTGTTTGACAAAGTAACAGTAACTATCAAGAAACTGTGACACCAGGTATAAAACCAAATTTAAACTTATCTTTATTTGGCAATCAACCATTGTCACATGAGACACAGAAGTACAAATCCAATAATGGGCATACAGTGTTTATTCACAAAAGCAGTGCCATAATACTGGCAAAATCTTGATAGTAAAAAACAAAACACTATGCTGGAGCCATAGCTTTGAGATCTTTTATACACTGGTTGACACTTTCTTTCTCCTGAAGAGCAATAAGATATGAAATTACAGTTAATCTAGTCATTAGACAAAGCATTTTATAATAGCACTCCATTTGCTTGTGAAACACCGCAACATGTATAGGGGATAATTTACTCCTGGTGAGCTCCACTTTTGCACAGACTGTTGGTAACTGAAGTCAAAGCATTTTTTCATTCAACTCCTTTATTTTCAGATTACTGCTACCTTTTCTCATGTCTTATGGTATCATAATTCAGATGCTGTTCACCTTCTTTATTTCCAAAAATGGGTGATGACAGAGGGAAGTTAGACCATCA